AGGAACAGCAAGACCGATTATCTGATTCAATAGACGACCTTTTTGATCAAACGGCGAAGGATTCAAGTCTTTCTTCTCTGGCTTAAGACGATGTAAGCGTCGATGTGCCTCCAGTGACAAATCACTCTCCAAAAAGCCCGCCAAGCACTGTCGAAATCCCGCCAAACTCTTATTCGCTGGAAGGAGCCCAAGACGCTGGATTACTCCAGATATTCTAGCTTCCACTTCAACATCTTCGTGTTCGCTTGGGCGATCTGTATAATCAGCGTCACAGATACAGTATGGTTTCTATATCAGTCATTTTAGCCTCCTTGAAATGTCAATCATAATCCAAAAATTATTATTTCAGGTTACCTTTGTATTGTTACTTGCTTTTTACTTAATTAATAGGCCACATTATAGGGCTACCCTCTCCCTCAGAGCTTACAGGCGGCGCGCCCAAGATTCTGAGTTGATGGTAGTCTCTCTTTTGAAATGTCGGTCATTATCCAAATTATTATTGTAGGTTATTTTTGTGGTGTCATTTGTTTTTGAAATAGGCCAAATTAATTATGGGGCTACCCTCTCCCTCAGAGCTTACAGGCGGCGCGCCCAAGATTCTGAGGTGATGGTAGTCTCTCTTTTGAAATGTCGGTCATTATCCACATTATTATTGTAGGTCATCTTTGTTTTGTCATTTGTTTCGAAATAGGCGAAATTATGGGGCTACCCTCTCCCTCAGAGCTTACAGGCGGCGCGCCCAAGATTCTGAGGTGATGGTAGTCTCTCTTTTGAAATGTCGGTCATTATCCAAATTATTATTGTAGGTCATCTTTGTTTTGTCATTTGTTTCGAAATAGGCCAAATTAATTATGGGGCTACCCTCTCCCTCAGAGCTTACAGGCGGCGCGCCCAAGATTCTGAGGTGATGGTAGTCTCTCTTTTGAAATGTCGGTCATTATCCAAATTATTATTGTAGGTTATTTTTGTAGTGTCATTTGTTTTTGAAATAGGCCAAATTAATTATGGGGCTACCCTCTCCCTCAGAGCTTACAGGCGGCGCGCCCAAGATTCTGAGGTGATGGTAGTCTCTCTTTTGAAATGTCGGTCATTATCCAAATTATTATTGTAGGTTATTTTTGTAGTGTCATTTGTTTTGAAATAGGCCAAAATATGGGGCTACCCTCTCCCTCAGAGCTTACAGGCGGCGCGCCCAAGATTCTGAGGTGATGGTAGTCTCTCTTTTGAAATTATAATTGTAGGTAATTTTTGTAGTGTCATTTGTTTTTGAAATAGGCCAAATTAATTATGGGGCTACCCTCTCCCTCAGAGCTTACAGGTAGCGCCCCCAAGATTCTGTGATGGTAGTCTCTCTTTTAAAATGTCGGTCATTATCCAAATTATTATTGTAGGTTATTTTTGTAGTGTCATTTGTTTTTGAAATAGGCCAAATTAATTATGGGGCTACCCTCTCCCTCAGAGCTTACAGGCGGCGCGCCCAAGATTCTGAGTTGATGGTAGTCTCTCTTTTGAAATGTCGGTCATTATCCAAATTATTATTGTAGGTCATCTTTGTTTTGTCATTTGTTTTGAAATAGGCCAAATTAATTATGGGGCTACCCTCTCCCTCAGAGCTTACAGGCGGCGCGCCCAAGATTCTGAGGTGATGGTAGTCTCTCTTTTAAAATGTTGGTCATTTATCCAAATTATTATTGTAGGTTATTTTTGTAGTTTCATTTGTTTTTGAAGTAGGCCAAATTAATTATAGGGTTACCCTCTCCCTCAGAGCTTACAGGCGGCGCGCCCAAGATTCTGAGGTGATGGTAGTCTCTCTTTTGAAATGTCGGTCATTATCCAAATTATTATTGTAGGTCATCTTTGTTTTGTCATTTGTTTCGAAATAGGCCAAATTAATTATGGGGCTACCCTCTCCCTCAGAGCTTACAGGCGGCGCACCCAAGATTCTGGGGTGATGGTAGTCTCTCTTTTGAAATGTCGGTCATTATCCAAATTATTATTTTAGTTCTTCTTTGTACTGTCATTTGTTTTGAAATAGGCCAAAATATGGGGCTACCCTCTCCCTCAGAGCTTACAGGCGGCGCGCCCAAGTTTCTGAGGTGATGGTAGTCTCTCTTTTAAAATGTCGGTCATTTATCCAAATTATTATTGTAGGTTATTTTTGCATTGTCATTTGTTTCTTAAATAGGCCAAATTATGGGGCGACCCTCTCCCTCAGAGCTTACAGGCGGCGCGCCCAAGATTCTGAGGTGATGGTAGTCTCTCTTTTGAAATTATAATTGTAGGTTATTTTTGTAGTGTCATTTGTTTTTGAAATAGGCCAAATTATGGGGCTTCCCTCTCTCTCAGAGCTTACAGGCGGCGCGCCCAAGATTCTGAGGTGAAGGTTGTCTCTCGTTTAAACTGTCAGTCGTCAACCATAGTATTATTGAATTTTCATTTTCCAGAGTTCATAGTGGTACCTTCTTTATAGTTTTACGTGATTTGTGGCAAAGACAAGACCAGGCTAACAAATTTATTCTACTTTATGCGTGGTGCGACAATCACCGTGGCTGACTGGCCTCCAAAGTTCCTTTATAATTTGGACGCTTCTCAGGAGTTCCTTCACTGCTTGTAATCCAGAATTGGCGATTCTCAGCAGCTTGAAGCTCTTGCTTTTCATCAGTTGTTCCTTGGACGGCGACCTTTTCTTGTCCCGAGTACAATATCGATTCTCGATTCTCGACTCTCGATTACCGTATCTTGCTGGTGCAAGGTTTCGGCAACGGGACCAGTACTAAAACCATTGCAGGAATATCACTGCCAAACTGCGCAACAGAATGCACGAAAAACCTCTCCGGTAGTTGAAAAAAAAAAAAAAAGAACCTGCGATGTAATTAGGTAACTTATTCATGGTGTTCAGCTTCCGGTTTATTCAGCTTATTGCCAGTTGTAGGCAAAGTTCACGCGCACATTATCGCATTCTAACTGGGTCGATTGTGAGGAAACTGTTATGTCAGTCATTGACTAAAAACCCCCGCGCGTTAAGCCTTTGTGCGACGGACGTCCCTTAGAAATATAAATTGCCCACACTGATCACCAATTTTACTTGCAAAGTGTTGCTGATTGAGTTGTGTAATGTATTCTAGAGTGTAAATTTAGTACTAACCTCGCAGACAAGGATGCAATGAGACATTTATTTTGCGTAGTTAGGCCTGCTATCCATTGGGCAACCATCCCTTTTATTTTCTTTCGATAGCCTGTCCATGCACTAACCTTTGGGCACAGAAACTAGCTGCCTCTCGCTGTACCAAAACTTGATAGTTTTGGCGTTCAATATTTTTAACGGATGCTCACAAAACACCGGGACTGCATCGTGCGCCTTTGGCGCTTTGGTATCCTGCGAGCTTTGGTTCATCGCGTTTTGAAAGATGGAAATTTTGATATTCCCGCGAAAAAGAAGACCGATAAAACGCATCTTTCATTGACTACAGTGAAACGCCCGGAAATGAAGGCTGTTTTGAAAGAAACGGGAAAACTGATAAAAGTAAATATTTGTTTTGATCTACTGAAATTAATGAGAAATAACCATAAACTAGTTTTGTGTTTTTGTTTTTTAAAAGCGGTTTGTCTGGTACCAGATTTGTACAATTACTTTCAATCAAACATGGATCGGGTTTTGTTAATTATGACAGAATGTAATTAAAAAGCATTATGTTGACAGCTACAAGGCACATGCTTGTCTTAAGCTGCGAGTATCCCGCCATGTTTTAAACAAAGGGCCTCTGACCAAGCCGGCATTCTAATCCGCCACAAATATGTGAAGCACGCGTCTTTCAAAGTCGCCTAGTACTTAAAATCGGCGCTCTGGCCTGTTATGATGTGACGCTGGAGTCTTTTGAAAACTGGAAGCAAGTTCTGGCTCGAACTTGCTTCTATCTTTCTTTCGTTAGTCTTTGAAAAAACACGGCAAATGGCAAACAAGCTTGTCAAGATGATCGGGTGCAGGTATGTTTGTTATCATATTTGTCGAACGAATTATTCATTTTCCCTTAGGCAAAACATCTCGAATCTCTGCCAGTCGATTTGCGTCTTCTTAACTGTGTACTGCGATAAAATTTTCAAACACTGACTAGAATCCTCTGCGGTAAGATTACGACTGAGTTAGATTCTTCATCGCTCTCGTTCACAAATAAACACATTTTAAAATGTTGAAGGCCAAAAGTCAACATCCAAGTCCTCAAGGTTGACAGGCGTCTTATAACTTTATTTAAACCGTTTTTTCGAGGTGAAGAGATTTAGAGCTCCGAAATGAGTGTTTTCTTTAAACATTTTGGTCCGTATAGCAAGTTACGGACCGCAAATTGACCAATCGCATGACGAAAACAGACTCAGCCATATAATAAGAAAGATTACTTTACCCCGGAGTTGGGGGAAATGAGGGAGGTTTGGTTTAAAACAACCTTGCACCACAGCGAAAAACTGGGGGCTTTGTAGAATGAAATGAGGTTGATTGGATACATAGACCACTTGTCCAGAAGATTGCGGGCTTAGCTCTCTCCTTGTAGTGGACCACTTCTATTAAGGAAACACTTCGTTGCACTTATAAAGAACATTTAAATCAACAAGAACATTGTAGAATAGATAGTTTGTTTTGGGTTTTTCTTGATATCTCCTAGCATTGCCTCTGCAATTTTTTTTATTTATAATGGTTTAATGAGTAAGTTATTATTTGGTGAGATATTTATAAGGTAATAATAATGTTTTTTATGTTGTGTCAAAAAGGTATAAACAGAAAGCTCTGCTGCATGTCTTTACAGTGCAAGAAGTGTGGAAAGTGTTTTAGTGTAGCAGGACACCTAAAGATTCATGAAAGAGTTCACAATGGGGAAAAGCCTTACGAATGTAAACAGTGTGGCAAGGGTTTTAGCCAAGCGGGAAACCTCAGGAAACATGAACGAGTTCACACTGGGGAAAAGCCTTATGAATGTAAACAGTGTGGCAAGTGTTTTAGTGAAGCAGGACCCCTAAGGAGCCATGAAAGAGTTCACACTGGGGAAAAGCCTTACAAATGTAAACAGTGTGGCAAGTGTTTTAGCGAAGCAGGACACCTAAGGAGCCATGAAAGAGTTCACACTGGGGAAAAGCCTTATGAATGTAAACAGTGTGGCAAGTGTTTTAGCGAAGCAGGAACCCTAAGGAGCCATGAAAGAGTTCACACTGGGGAAAAGCCTTATGAATGTAAACAGTGCGGCAAGTGTTTTAGCCAATCAGGAGACCTAAGGAGTCATGAAAGAGTTCACACTGGGGAAAAGCCTTATGAATGTAAACAGTGTGGCAAGTGTTTTAGCGAAGCAGGAACCCTAAGGAGACATGAAAGAGTTCACTCTGGGGAAAAGCCTTATGAACGTAAACAGTGTGGCAAGTGTTTTAGCAAAGCAGGAACCCTAAGGAGCCATGAAAGAGTTCACACTGGAGAAAAGCCTTATGAATGTAAACAATGCGGCAAGTGTTTTAGCCGATCAGGAGTCCTAAGGAGTCATGAAAGAGTTCACACTGGGGAAAAGCCTTATGAATGTAAACAATGCGGCAAGTGTTTTAGCCGATCAGGAGTCCTAAGGAGTCATGAAAGAGCTCACACTGGGGAAAAGCCTTATGAATGTAAACAGTGTGGCAAGTGTTTTAGCCAATCAGGAAAACTAAGAAGCCATGAAAGAGTTCACACTGGGGAAAAGCCTTACGAATGTGAGCAGTGTGGCAAGTGTTTTAGCCAAGCAGGTAACCTGAGGAGTCATGAAAGAAATCACTCCGGGGAAAAGCTGTGTTTTAGCCGATCACAGAGCCTTAAAAGTCACGAGAAAGTCCACAGTTCGCTCTCACAAAGAGAAACTGGAAATACTGCTATGGAAAATCTGCAACCAGACATTATTGAGAAACACAGCTGTTGGGTTTGCCAAGAGGAGATGAATAGTGAAGCTCTTCTTCTTCAACATTATGAAAATCATATGATACATATACCAGAAGATGGTTCGTAAAGAACGCTTTGGGCTTTAGGTTTAGTTAAGTTTTGTTTTTTTCTGTGAAGGTTTCTATTTTGAATGCAAGCATATTCTCCTTTTAACTGTGGTTAGTTGGCTTTATTTAAAAGTTTGTTTTGGGTTTCCATAAGGCAACTTTATTTAAGAAGTAAACTTTGTGTTTTTTGAAAATGGACAGAACAATTCTTAGGGCAATCCAAAAGAAGAAATTAATGTTACTAATACAGGCTATATGTTGTTGAAGATGGCTCTCAAAGTTGAGGAACAGTTGGTCTTTAGGTTTGGTAAGCTTCGTTCTTCTTCCAGTGTTTTGGGGTGTTCCTTTGTAACAGTATCATCTGGATTGGTCACCTTTAATTAATATTAGTTAAGTCGTAAGTTCAAGTTATGTTTCTAGTGTTTATTTTATATTGATTAGTAGACATTGCTTGTTTTGAAAATGGACGGATTAGTTCTTTGGTGATCGTTTTCTGTTGTATCACTCCACCAGTGAAAATCGACAAATTAAACTCTACAGGTCTCTCCTCTGCAGAGGTTCCCGCTGTGTACTTCAATGAAAACAACAACAACAACAATGCATTCTATCCAAGATCCATAAAGCTTTTATGCCCTGCAAAAAGTTATAGCGCTAATCTAGGGAGGATAAAAATTATAAATAAAGGCGTTATTAAATTACATGTACAGAAAAAAGGAAAAGAAAAGGAATGAAACAATACACAGAAAGAAAAACCCCTCACATAAACTCAAGCAGAGGCTTTTGTTATAAGAAAAAAAAGACTAAAATTACAATGGAGGTATATACAACGTATCAGGTTAACTTCTTAAAATATTCTACTACATAAGTAACCTTTAAATAATTATCTTCATTACCTAGGGTATTAAGAAGTAGTGATTTAATTTTTTACGAAAATTAGATAAGTTGAGAGTTTTAACAGAATGTGGAATAGAATTCCAAATAGACACACTAATTCTAGTGAAAGATGTTTTTCATGTTTTCAGTTCTAGAGAAATTAACAGACAAACATTCCTTTGCGGATAATCGCGTATTATAATGATATTTTGTACTGATTCTGCAAACTTATTGAGAAGACTTTTTGCAGCTGTCTTAGTATGGACGTCATACATTAAATAGCTTGATTGTTGAAAGAACAAAGACTGTAAAGGAAGGCAGTTTGATTTAATAAAAAAAGGAATTGCATGGTCTCTGGGTTGAGCAAAATAAATCAAACGCAATGTACGTTTTTACAGAACAAGTAAATAGTTAACAATTAGTGAATGAGGCTGAGTATCTTATGAAGAATTATGGAGATCAAGGAGGGTGTTACGGCCTCGACGGAGAACACCCTCCCAGATCGCCATAATTCTTCATATGATACGAAACTCGAATTCAATAATTGTTTTGTTATTCATTCAAAATAATTCCTAGTTTAAAAACATGGCTAAAACATGCTTACTTCCATCGATCCATCAATGTTAAGTTCATCTTCGATAGTGCACGTTTAGGGTTGTCCAGCTCCGCAAATATTCTCCAAATAGCAGATGTCTCCCTTCGAGTTGTCCTCTTGCTGTTCTTGCCATGTTTTTAGCGATTTTTTTGCCTAGTTCTTAGTCTTGAAACGAGTGAAATGTCCGCCATTTTTCAAGTTCACAACCAAAACAACTCAACCTCGTCCCCAGGTCTTCTCGGTTAACGGTGCTCCTGGAAGAACGCTGCATTTTTGACGTCATTTCCTCGCTAAACACAAAATTCTTCCAAATTTGGTCATCAGTAACTGATTATGGTGAATTAAACGTGTGCTTTTAGCCAATCAGAATCGGGGAAATATTTTGAATGAATAATAAGTTAGATCATTTTCCAAAGTAATACTGATAGCTTGGACATTTTTTACGAGTTAATCAAACTTAGGGTGGCTCGACTGGATTTTTTAGGCGGGGGATACCTCCCAAGTTTGAGCATTAACTACGTCGGCATGAGTAAAGGTACGGGGAAAAGGTTACCACAACTGTATTATATAAAGATGAAAATTTCTTATGATCTGGGCTTTATTACAATCGGAGTCGCCATGGCAACGTTATGACACCATTACGTTTTTAATTTATCTTTGTGTTTCTCTGTACCAGGAGTTTTTTTGAAGAAATCGCTTTAGCGAGTATGTACCTGCCATTATTGCGCCAATTATGGTAAAGTTTGAACAAATTCTATGGGAACGTTTTGGAAATATCTTAAAACGAAGTTTGAAGGATCATAAAAACAGTGAAATAGCATGCTATCTACACAATTAGCTAACAATATAAGAAAATGATAAGCTTTGGAAAAGCGGCTTCATCTCCTAGTAGTTTGATTCCATTGAAAACTGCGTACAACAAAAAGTTAGTCATTGTTTGCTCTGCTCTAGCTATTTTTGTTCCGTAGATTGTGACTGGCGCGTTTTGAAAGATATTGACGGATTGCCATGGAAGAGCCAATCAGAGTTTCGCGTTGTGAGAGCAACGCATTAGGTCAAAAGCTTAGGCTCTGTCTGTAGTCCCTCATTTTTCTCTTTCACCGCCGCTTCTCGCCTTTCTCGCGTGGGGTGATTTTCACGCGCACTCGCGTTTCGCTCGCTCTACTATCCCTGGGGGAAAATGGAGACTACTCGTTGTCTAATTACTAGTGACTTAGTATGATCCTGGTAAAGGTACTCTTGGGTACAGTTTTTTCATAATGTTGAGAATGTGATGTAGCGACGGGTGCTCTCTGCCGTTTCGGACAATGTTTGCACGTTATACGTGCCTAAGTTTTTTTCCGAGCCAGGCTGAGTACTATTTCATGGGTAGGTACTTCATGTACGGGACATTGATACAAACAAACGGTCATGATCACTTTCTCAGAGTTCTTATGTGTTGATCAATGAACAGCGCTGAAACTTTATTAACAAAGGTAGGATAAACTTTCCAGTATATGATATATACATCTTAGACTGACTTTTAAGTCATGACAGAAAAAAAGTGAAAGGATTGAGCAGCAGAAAAACCGTGCAGAAAAAAACGAGCTTTTCTAAGCTCATCTAAGTGACAGCTTCCCTCGAGATCCAGAGGGATTTGTGCTTCTTTTCTATTGCAGTTGTGCATTTCAGTAGACAGAGATTAGATTCGGGGCTACACTGCATTTTAAGAGATGTTATAAACTAATGAATTCCTTATTTATTGGTCGGACTTTTGATTCAATGGTTTTTGGCACTGATCTTAATTCAGCTACGTAACTCAATCTTTGATGATTTACAGGTTATTCCCGTGTAAAATAAAAGATTCAAGTGAATGGACCTTATCAGACTTATCAAGTCCTTCAAATTGACTTGTGTTGAAATATGTTTGTATTAAAATTGGCTATCTGACTTGTCGGTTATATTACTGGTTTGGAAATGTTTAATGGTACTTACAAAGCTGTAACTTTGGTAACAAAGTGAGTTACAAGCAATATATGAAGACTAAGTTTCCCTCTCAATTCACAGAAAAATTTATTTGCTATTTTTCACTTGAAAAAAAAAAGAAATTTAAATGCACCAACCGCAATTTTTGTTGCATAAATAACACTTAAGCTTAAATGGGCTTTGTCATGATTTGCTGTTTCATGCTGTTTGTGTATTCAAGTTATCACTTAGCACTTTCACCCCAATATTGTGCTCTAAGGGGGTGTTTACATGATACTGGGGTGACCTTTGTGCTGGCGGGAGTTCACTCCAGTTCCCCCTCATGGCTCTTAATTTGTTTACATGATACCACCATGAAACGTCATACTGGTGCAAGTCACCACAACATTAGTTCACCGAGGTTGTTGTACCGGAGAGAGAATTTCTCTCGAAAAGTACATGTATGCGAGAATGAGATAGTTCCTTATGAAAATGTAATTTTCAAACATTTCATGTATTTCATTATGCTATAAACTACTACTCAGCAGCATAAAAATACAGCATCTTTTCACTCTATGAAAAAGCAAAATATAGATAATATTCAGCGCAGTCGAAAATAATTACTAAAAATTCTGTATATATTTGAGATAGTAAGAAAAGAGAACTGGTAAACATGTATAAGGACTATTTTTAACACATTCCTTTCATCAATCAAAAGGTTTCATTTATTTTGCGAAATGTAGTTACACCAAAAGTCATAGGTCGCAGACCAAGGACCACTACGCAAAATTATGTGATATTTTTCAAGAGTCGATAAAACACAAAATTAAAAGTCTGAAGAAAATTTGCTTCCAAAGACAGAAAAAGTTTTATATGAAAAACTGCATGTTGTCTAATGAAACCCATTAAGTTTTTGTGCCTTACTGATTCAGAGAAATGTGGGCAATGTAGCCCAATTTTTCAGGTTTTTAATAGAAGGGGAAAAGAAAATATGGCAGACTTATGCAATTTTCATTACGATGTTTGGGTCAAGCAGAGGAAAGCTCTGCTTCTTATTAGTTAGTTAGATTGAAAATAAACTTTTAAAACATCAATCAGTCGTTTTCTCAAGTTCCAGTGGAAACTTTCCATTAAACATTGAAACTGCTACTGTCCAAAACTTTAAATGTTTTAAAATAAGTCATCTTTAATTTTCTTTCCTATATTATCAAACAAACATTTAGGAAATTTAGCTTTTTCTGGATTTGGTCAAAGTGTAACCAGCTCTTCTTTCTGTTAGTTTTTGCTTGTCATTACACCAAAAGTTGGGACTGCCCTGTTTCTAAAACAACAAGAAATACAATCATCTTTTCTTTTATATATATATATTTTTTTAAGCACAGGGAAAATACAGCCATAAATTATGTTTTGGCGAGGCAGGCACAGCAGCCAAAAACCATAAAAATATTAAATTTGCATACTGGTAAGCGGTATACAGCAACTTCCGTCTTATACAAAAATAAATTGCCCCGCCCCTTGTTTAAAGGGTGGATAATGTAATCCACTTGATAAATCACTATCCAAAATGCATGCTTGTCCACTGGTTAGTGATTTATCCAGTGGATGGCGCTTTCTGCTGTTTGAGCAACGCGAGCCTGTCCAACATGTTAACTTTTTTGGCCTGTTTAACTGTACACTGTAGTACAAATGAGAGTGCTTAGCTATGCGACTCCTGCAAGTATGTGGTAGGTACAGCCTGCCTGAATGGCAAGCAGTCAAACTCACTTTCTTTGCATCCTGGCTATAGACTTTCAAGAAAGTCCTTTGTCAGAATTTGTATGACGTAAGACCTCTCGCGACTTTGTGGCTTATGGTCGGCCGCTTCGGGGCCCAAAAAGGCTCACTCCACTCGCCAAGAGGTCGACTTGTAGCAAGTCTACCCTGGCTATTATAGAGGGTCAAATGATGAAAGGCAGACATACAGTAACAGGAAATCACATGTTAAAATAAGTGGCACCACTTTACTACTTTTGTAGTACTGTGTCTTAGTTGGGTATGATCCTGGGAGGAAGTATTTGCCCTCCTCTTTTTTCACAACTGTGGATTATTTGGCTCTTAAAAGAAAAATGCTAATTTGTGGGGGGAACCCTGGGGTGACAGCCTGGCATCAATTGATGCTGCTGCATTGCATTGTACAAGCAAATATATTTTAACAAATGTATATGAAATAAATCGTAATTTGTATGAGAACTGCAGAAATGAAATCAAATGAAGAATGTGGTAGTGAATGCAATTTAGGCAATTGCATAGGACCATATGAACACATAATTTACCAGTTTCCAACATCAGTGGCTTTAGAGCTTAGTTGGTCAGAGCATCGCACCAGTATCACGAGGTCACTGGTTCAAATCCCATTGAAGTTCTGAATTTGTTTCAGGCTTCTTATGCAATTGCATGAATTGCATTCACAACTGTAAGGATCATTCTTCATTGTATTAAATATGTTTTAATTTGCTATAGTAACTTTAATGTTTTAGAAATGTTGAATGACAATGTCTCTATTTTAGGTCAAAGAGGTGCAAAGGAAGCTACAATCCATGTCTCTAAGGCGTAATGAGTGTTGCAGGTGTTTTAGTAAACAAAGAAACCTAAGGATACATGAAAGAGTTCACACTGGGAAAAAGTCTCATGAATGTAAACAGTGTGGCAAGTGTTTTAACAAAGCAGAAAAGCTACAGATTCATGAAAGAATTCTCACTGGAGAAAAGCCTTATAAATGTAAACAGTGTGGCAAGTGTTTTAGTGTAGCAGGACGACTAAGCAGGCATGAAAGAGTTCACACGGGGGAAAAGCTTTACGAATGTAAACAGTGTGGCAAGTGTTTTAGCCAAGCAGGACACCTAAAGAGGCATGAAAGAGTTCACACTGGGGAAAAGCCTTACGAATGTAAACAGTGTGGCAAGTGTTTTAGTCGAGCAGGAACCCTAAGTAGCCATGAAAGAGTTCACACTGGGGAAAAGCCTTATGAATGTAAACAGTGTGGCAAGTGTTTTAGTCGAGCAGTATACCTAAGGAGTCATGAAAGAGTTCACACTGGGGAAAAGCCTTATGAATGTAAACAGTGTGGCAAGTGTTTTAGGCCCTAAGGAGCCATGTTTTCACACTGGGGAAAAGCCTTATGAATGTAAACAGGAACCCTAAGCAGGAACCCTATGAAATGAAAGAGTTCACACTGGGGAAAAGCCTTATGAATGTAAACAGTGTGGCAAGTGTTTTAGCGAAGCAGGAACCCTAAGGAGCCATGAAAGAGTTCACACTGGGGAAAAGCCTTATGAATGTAAACAGTGTGGCAAGTGTTTTAGCCAAGCAGGACACCTAAGGAGTCATGAAAGAGTTCACACTGGGGAAAAGCCTTATGAATGTAAACAGTGTGGCAAGTGTTTTAGCGAAGCAGGAAACCTAAGGAGCCATGAAACAGTTCACACTGGGGAAAAGCCCTATGAATGTAAACATTGTGGCAAGTGTTTTAGTGTAGTAGGACACCTAAGGAGACATGAAAGAGTTCACACTAGGGAAAAGCCTTATGAATGTAAACAGTGTGGCAAGTGTTTTAGCCGATCAGGAGACCTAAGGAGTCATCAAAGAGTTCACACTGGGGAAAAGCCTTATGAATGTAAGCAGTGTGGCAAGTGTTTTAGCCAAGCAGGAAACCTGAGGAAGCATGAAATAATTCACAGCAGGGAAAAGCTGTGTTTTAGAGCACAGAGCCTTAAAAGTCACGAGAAAGTCCACAGTAGAAAACACTTGCATAAACGCAATAGTAACGAAATTGTTTCTAAAGGTTTGCCTTTTAAGAGTAAGAGGGCAGTAAGTAATGTGAGGATTAGATTTACAAATGCCACACCTACACAGAGAGAGACTGGAGACAATAGGATAGAAGACCAGCGATCAGACATAATTGAGAGACATACCTGTTGGATTTGTCAAGAGGAGATGAGTAGTGAATCTCTTCTTCTTCAACATTATGAAAATCACATGAGATATATACCTTCAAGTGGTTATTAAAGAACCTTTCTACTACCGCCATTTTCTTCTGTCTCCAATATGGCTGTTGTGAAGAAGTTCAACTGTAGACTTCACGATTTTGAAGGTGGACACCAATTCTTAGGGGGTTTTTACATGAGAAAAACTTGCACTGGCACGAATTTCATACCGGGATGACTTTTTGATTCTGTATCGCGTTTGCATGATGACTGGCTCATTTCATATCTCACTATTTGAAGGTACACGTCATGTTGGTAAAATACATGTGTGATTCAAAATCGCAAACATAACGCATTTGCTACCTGTTCCATTCTACCAGCAGACTGATTTCACAGCGAAATGTGTGGTCGTTTCGCGTTTACATGATACTGTTGTGAGATTTCGAACCGGAGTGAATTTCTCACCGCGGTACAACAACCAGAGTGAACTCGCGCCTGGGTGACTCACGTCGGCATGACATTTTCTGGGGGTATCATGTAAACAAATGTAGAGCCATGAGAAGGAACCGGAGTGAACTCACTCTGGCGCGAAAGTTCCCCGTGGTATCATGTAAACACCCCCTTAGGCATTCCTGTTATACTTGCAATATTAATCATACAGGCACCAGTTGTTTGAACATTGGATTAGGCTATCCATCATATGAATCACTTTTCAAAGGAAAAGTAACAATGGAAATAACTAATAATTAGTTTGTGTTATTCCCTGGAAAGGGGTTTATCCAATGGATTTAAACATCTAGGGCCCAGTCAGTAACATAGATTTTTAACTATCCAGTTTTATCGACCAGAGTATTGCCAGTCGACAATTTTCCTAACGAGTGAGAAATACTGAATTTAAATAAAATCAAGCAGTGTGCAAAGAAAGTCGTGTCCAAAAGCAGGGGGCTAGTGGATTTTGCTATCAGGCTAGTGATTTTTGGTCTTAACTTGCCCGACGGGCAAGTGCTGTTTTTTGGAGAAATTCAAATCACAGAAGGATTGTAATCAATCCTGTTAATCAAAAAGGGTTTTGGGGCTAGTTGAAATGACTTGTGGTCTAGTACGTGCGAGCTACAGCTTGCCCGAATGTTAGGCTGTAAACTGACTTTCTTTGGACCCCGAATCAAGTCATATCTTTATGTCTGTGCGCTCTATAATTATAAGCTTTACTTTTTTCAAAGAGTCGTGGCTTCTTTCACTTGCTTTATGATCTCAGGAGGTAGAGGTCCTCTCTTAAATTTATAGTGATGAAACGTTCTTAATTTCAACCATACGGGTTCCTGTCGTTCAAACGTTGGATGAGTCGATCTTTCGGAGAAATCACTTTCCATTGGCTAACTATAGTATTTTGGCGTCGGAATCGCGTGTAGATTGCGGTAAGGGTAAGAAGCGGAATGAGTTTGCGGAATGGCACGTGGCATGGCTTGCAGAATGACATAATTATGCTGCATTTAATATAACTATAAATGGCGTAAAGAAATAAATTAAACAGGACGCATGCGCGCGTCTCTGCCGGGCGTTTTTTGGCGCCAATTTGAAGGTTTATTACTGGCATTTAGGGAGGGTTTCACGTTGAAAAGCGCTTAACAGTTTGCATCAATGTTCACTCACAGATTTACTTCAGCCATCTTTTTAATTGTAAGTCAACTGCTAAAATCTGTCCACACGTTTGGTAAAGGCACTTCGAAAAACTGAATTTTTGTCACATTCGAGTAATAATTCTGTTACAATCATACGTGATTATGCCGGTTGGTCGCTTACAGGGAACAGAAATCAAAACGGAATATCTTCTGGCCTAAAAAGTGATCGCGGTCGTTTACGGAATTTGAGTAGTGGTCTCTTACGAGAGAGTTTCTGAAGCTGTATTTCGCTGTGAAACAAAACGAGTATCAGTACAAAGTGGTCGCTTAATGGGGGGTGGTCCCTTACGGAAAGTGGTCGCTATGAGAGAGTTGACTGTAGTTTCGAATTCTACCCTCCTCAACGTCAAAAACATAACGCGACTGATAGGCCCTATATAAGGTGGTCAGTTTAATACATGGCAAGGGACGCAAGAAACGCACTCTTACAATGAGCGATCGGTGAAATGATTTGAGCTAATCTCATACCCAGATCTGGGTTCAAGGTTAGACGTGAGCTCCTCGTTGTTTTGTCCCATTGGAGTGCGCGTCTTTAGCTTCATCAAGACTGCTTTGAACCACGTGACTAATGACCTCATCATTAACTTTTTCAGCCCAAACATCCACAAAATAATGGTGTGATGATATATTTTTGTGAAGAATCTCAGTTTAGAGAATTTGATAAAAGATCTTTTAATTTTTCTTTAGGTGATCATTTTTGTTAATTTTTATAACTTTTTCTCTCAGTTATGTATTGCATTGTTAAGAGAAAATTGATCTTAACCACCCTTTGGACTTCAAGGGCATATTTCTACATTCTTTACAGATTCAGGTTTTTGTTAGAATTCTTAAGTAGTAGGGGTACCCAACTACGGTTTCCACCTAAATGCATTGAAATTGGTTTTTAGGCTATAAAGAGTGCTTTTTGGTCTTGAGAAATGCATTCTAATTATTCTCTGTTTGGTCATCCTAGGGCAACTTGAGCCTATTTGAAGTTAAAGGGGCTTCAGTATTATTTTCCCGAAAATTTTACATACAATTTATCATGGTAATTGAACTGAGTGGTTTGAAATTATACGCGTGATTTTGAAATCGGACGAGCCATTTTCAAGTCGCCGAATTCAGTCAGTACCAATATTTATTTGACCAAGTAGCCGGTTTTTAGAAAAGCAGAAATGAAAAGGCTTTTAAAGCTCATTTTGTATTCGAAACAGAAATGATGCAATATAGAGCGAAAATGGTGCGATTTAAAGGAGAAAAGTCGCAATTTGGAACAGATGTGATTTAGAGCGAAGAAAAAGTATAGCTTTATCGTACTCATTCACATTGCGTTGAAAGATGATACAGCAAGAGATATAGTCGACCACAATGATTTTGTAACCTTGTCTACCAAGAAACGTTTGAAATTGTTCCAGTTCAGTTATACCACATGGTCCTTCAGGTATCCCTGTCAAAACGCTCCTCATTCAAAGTCTTTCTTATATGTTAGTATCTTCAGCAAAAAATTAAAATCTGAAACCTTTGAGACATCACATAAATCATTTATATACATCACAAAAGGCAAGGGTCCTAATGTCGAGCCTTGAGGAAATCTACTTTGGGAAGTTGTCACCGAATAGAACAAATTGATACTTATTGTCTATTTTATTAGTAATGCGCGAACTTATTTTAACCATCCCATCCATCATCCAATAAAATTTAATGATCAACTGTCTCAAAAGCTCTAGATAAATCGATAAAAACACATAAAAAGAACTCATTGTTATCAATAGCAGCAGAAATCTTATCATACGGAATAGTTACAACGTATTTAGTCCCGTGATGCTCACGAAAGCCAGATTGATTATCAGTGAGTATTTTATGCTAATTGTAAAATACTCCATCCAATAATAATTAAGAACAGAAGTAGTTCCTAGATTAGTACCCTAGGAATTAAGAGAGACATTACAGAGCAAATTCACCTCATTCTCCAAGGAAAAAGAGAATGCCACCCGCTCTTTAACCGATTATAAAATGTTGTGAATGCTAGTTTCAGTCTTTTTTGTTCTTCGGACGATCAATGGTCTAGAATAAACACACAAAAATCGTGCCGTTTGACCTTGAGCGGTTGTGGCTGTCTTAAAACGGTCTGAAACGATGACACGGTATTTCAAAGATAAGCTTCGAGAGTAATAAATGCCTGATTCCAAAAGCAAATTCTTCTTTTAAATTCTTCTTCTTAAAAGGGAAACAAGAGGTCAGAGATTGTCATATCTAGTAATTAAATAAAAAGCAGTATTGCTTTTTACCACTATCATTAGCAGTGTGGCAAATCCTAAGTCCGCCACTGATCTCCATAGAAGGTCAAAATAACTTGCAAAATATTTACAGACTTCTGAATTTGAGTGCTTAGCATTGCGCTTGAAGATACATCAGACATGTCAAATCATTAAAACAAGCTCTAGATTAAATAAATAAATAAAATAAATAGGGCTGTATATTCATCCTTTAAGGCATCAAATGAATTTTTATTTGAACTCCTTAGAAAAACACTTTTTGGTTTCGAATTTTATTCATTGTGAGTTTCATTGCTAGGGAAACCATTAGGTCTGGTGTATAAAAATCTCCTAGAATAACCGTTTGTAAGAACCGCGATTTACCAGCACCGTTATTCAAGAGTATGTTTGCCATGTTTTAGTATTTTGATTCGCATTCATTTGATTCGTATCAGTCTTGACGGGTTGCATGGCCAATGTCGTATTTATTCGAATAAGCGCCCAACCTCGAATTAGCGCCCACCTCGAATAAGCGCCCATCATAAAGGCAGAAAAAGTTAATAAGCGCCCACCAACATCCCACCTCCAAAAAATGGAATAAGTACTCATGAGAAGACTACTCCGAACAGGGAGTTTCCTTCAGAGTATAGAAATCTTGCTTTGTTAAATCTTCGCGTTTTGGTATTACTCAAGTTTATTGTTTTGCTGCCAAATAAACATACCACAATTGCTCAAAATGTTGAAAATTTAATGAGCACCCAGCCTCGAATAAGCGCCCACCTTGAATAAGCGCACACTCTCATGGTCCAAAAATTCAATACGCGTCTAGGGCGGTGAATCGAATAAATACGGTA